GCCGGGGGAGGGGTGGGTGGGTGTGTTCATTGGGGGGAGGGATAGCTCAGTGGTTTGAGCATTGGCCTGCTAAACCCAGGGTTGTGAGTTCAATCCTTGAGGGGGCCACTTGGGGATCTGGGGCAAAAATCAGTACTTGGCCCTGCTAGTGAAGGCAGGGGGCTGGACTGGGTTTTGGAGTCAGGAGGGGGCGTGATGTGGTGGAGGTCTGGGGGGGCAGGAGGGGGTGCGGGGCTAGGGGCCGGATTCAGCCAGGGACACCTGGTGACCTTGGGTAACTTGGCATGTGTTCTGTGGGGGGTGTGGCCTGTCGGTGGTGGGCGGGGCTTGGAGTCCAGAGGAGGCGTGGCAGATGAGAGTGGGCGTGGCTAGAGACAGGACTCAGCACGGGCGGGGTGGGGGTGACCGTGGCCATGTGTTCTGTGTGGGGTGAAGTGCTCTGAGATGGGCTGTGGGGAGGGACTCCAGGAGGCCCGTCTGGGCTCGCCCGGCTGCTGACTCCACCCTGGCCTTGTTCCTCACAGTGTGTGGCTCCCTGACACGGACCCTGGACAGCGGCATCGGCACCTTCCCTCCCCCCGACTACTGCAGCGGGACTCCCAGTAAAAACCTCCCCAAGCTGAAACCCAGCCTGGACCCGCTGCCCAGCCTCGCCCCGGGGCGGCCCCCCGGCGGCCCCAGAGTCCCCCGCAAGGCCCGCACGCTGGAGAGGGAGGTGCCCAGCGCCGAGGACGTTCTGGCACCCGGCAAGCACCAAAGCATGCCCACGTTCCACGGAGTGCTGGCCAGCGTGGAGCCGCCCCCGAGCCTCCGCAGCCGCGGAGTCTGCCCCGAAGGTCTGGACCCAGGCGAGCCGCGGGGTGGGGAGGGGGCTTACGCGGGGCCCAGCGAGCTGGGGGCGGTGGGGGGGGGGACACACTCGCACCAGTAATGCTAATGGGGACCCACACTGGTTCCAGACACCCTGCTGGGACCTCCGGTCCCGTTGTTCACTCCCGGCTGCTCCAGGAAACGCCCTCGCCAGGCGACTCGCTCCCACCGATCTCCCTGCCCATGTGTCCCCCGCACCGCCTGGGCCAGACCCTGCCCATTCCCCCTCTACCGGAGGGTTTAACCCCCCACCCCGCCCTGCGCCGAGCTGCCCACCAGGGGCCGGGGGTGCTAGGACAGGCCTGGAGCGACCCCAACCCTCCCCCAGTCCCCCTGTCCACGTTTGCAGCCACTGAGCCCTTCGCTTGGGGCTGGGGGAGGGCTGGGGGTCGCACTCTGCTAACTCCCCACTGCCTCTCTCCTGGGCCAGACCCCCGCCTGGAACCACGGCGAGTGCAGCACAGCAAGAACTGGACTTTTCCCAACTCCAAGGCCTGCGGCGGCTCCGCGGACCCCTTCCTGTGCACGGCCCGGGACCTGGAGGGGCTGCACGGGCTGGCTGGGGTAAGGACCCCCGCGGGGCGGGGCGCTGGGAGCGGTAGTCCGAGGGTTGGTCGGCGCGGGCAGCCCTGGGCAGGCTGCTGGGAGCTGCGGGCACGGAGGGCTGGGCGGAGGGGCTGGCCGCTGGGGGCCCGGGTGGTGGAGGCACTTGCAGAGAGAACCTGGGCTGGGCTGCAAGGAGGAGCCACGGATGTTCCCAGTGCCCTCACCCCCCCCGCCAGGCCCTAGGCCAGCCCCCGGGGCACTGGCACCCAGCCAAGCCCTGTTCACCCTCCCCCCTTCCCCACCCCCCAATGCCCGTCGGACGGGGCGGGGTCCGGGTCCATTCCCAGCCCCATTGCTGCCTGGTCCCGGGTTTGTGAGACCCAGTGTGGAAACCTCCCTGCCCCAGGGCAGAGCGGGCTGGGCTGCCATGGGGAGTGGGGGGCGGGCTGGGCTGCAATGGGAGGGGAGATGGGGGGCTGGACTGCCGATGGAGGGTAGGAGGGGGTCTGGGCTG